TGACTCGGGCTAGAACTAAAATTTGTGAAAGTTAAGAGGAAAGAATAATTGCAAGTCTTCCAACTGTATTTAATTAAATCGTGATTTTAGGCAAAACGGAGGAGAAACGGGATTAAAGATCCTGAAGTTGTAATTGTTGCTGTTCTGCAGGATTTATGTTAAATCCTGCTACCAACCGGTATCTGAATTATACTTGTTATTTAGATGCATTGCTTATAAAATTTTTATGCTAGCAATGTTTGGATATTTTGGCTGGTTAACACCTGTAATTATAGCTGATGTTAGCTGTTTGGCTGATTAAGATAAAAAACTGGAAAAATCATAATCACCATTGATCATTTAGATAACTTCAAACAGTTTAAATAAGGCAATTTTACGCCAAAGAATTGGATTTGATAAATTAAACTGTTGTTTAAATGATATTATCATTTAAATAACATTACTATCCACATGACATTAAACCAAACAATTAAGTTGATATTTTGTTCCTCAGCTTCATTGGCAAGATGGGATCCACTTCCAGGCGTTCTAAGTGTTCTAAGAGAAGTGATGAAGCGAGTATAAGTAGTTTAGAATCAGATGAATACAGTGAAAATGAAATTGGATCTGATAAAGATTCAGAGATGGAGATGGAGCTAACTTTGGATCAGTCCGAGCAAGATGAAAAAGACGATAGTGGAATGGACTCCGAAGCTGAGGACGATGAAGAGAACAATGTGGTATGTTTGCAGTGTTTTCATCCTTGTTTTAATTTTTTCTTTTCGCAGCTTGGCATTTCACTTTTTATCATGGTATAGGAGGAAGGAGAAGACAATGAAAGAAGTGCTGTGCAAAGGGATGCAGAAATGGAAGTGCTCGAGATAGAGTATCAAGCTCTGCGCAGCAAGGAACAGTAAGACTTAATCTTTGTAAAGCAATTACTATATCTATTATATAGTTTTATTTGCACAATGAAAGAAATTATTTGAAACTGATCAAGTGTTCTTTGTTCATTCAATGATTAGTATCTGTTTTTGATATGATGTTCTTTTCATTATTGCTCTTAGTACAAAAATATTATTTTTTATTTTTTATAGGTTACTATTGAACATTTCATGTTGTTAATAAGGGTCTTATTCCAGATGATAGAACAATTGAGTGCTTAATGCTTGCTTAATGAATTCCATTATAGAACACGAGGTAATGTGGGTGCAAACTGGTGACCATTACTATTTGCACGAATTTAATGTCAGATATTTTTTAATAAATATTTTTCTACCTCATTCAGTTACCATTTGATTGCTGAATTTGCAATAAATAGATGATGCATTTTTCTACTTTTATTACATGTAAGGGAGCAATTATTATACCCACTTATTTTATGCTTATTTAGCTCATTAATCATGGTTACTGGCCATAATATTTGAACAAAGTGGTTTTCTTAACCATGTTTTTAACAAGCAACTGTCACTCTTAATGGGAAACCAGACAAGTGTGAAGTTGATGTGGTCCTTATGGTAGTTTGGTAGGACTATGAAGGGATTGAACAATAAAATATAAATTTTATAGTCAGGGGGAGTAATAATTATTGATGATTTTGTTGGTAACAATGTAACTAATTTGTTTCAATGAGAAGCTGCATCAAACAAAATAAGGGGATAAAATTAATGTGAAAGGATTTTCTAATCAAAGTGAGACCAAAGTTAATATGATTAGAAATTGTGTACAAAACTTTCAAATTTTATTATCTTATTTATTTTAACAATCACCAGGAATAATTGGAGGAGGAATTTTATAGTCGAAGTCATATAGTTTAGTTTTGGCCTAATGTTTTGATTCCGAGGGTGGCGATGATGATGATGATGATGATGCACCTGTCAAACATTTTGTTAGTATTATAGTTTATATCAAATATGGATGGTTGGTAAAGTTGTATATAAAGATAGTTCACGTGCATTATTGGCTCTTTTGGTAATGCTAATTATTAGTTTATGTTTCGAGCTCTAATTTGCATGCACTCAATTTGTTTTTAAGAAGAAGTAGTTGAAATTAGGAGTTTTGCAACGCTTCCAAGATGAAGAGATGGTGAAAGATTCTAATTTTGGTTTTCATGTGTGTGATCAACTTTTGATTTTGTTTTATTTTTCTATGTTTGTTGAATGACATCAAATCTTCCTTCCTTTCTAAGAAGGTACATTTCATTTTATAGTTTTTTCTTTTTATGAAAGATTGTTGGTTCTTTTGGCGTTGTTTGGTTGTTTCAACTAAAGTTTTATGCCTCATAACTATCATATGGTCTAAAATATTATTCAAATATTTATCGTTTTGTGTTTTGATTGCTTACACTTGTACCTGAAAATCTTGTTGTTCTTTTCTTTAGATATTAAATCACTTCTGTTTTATAAACACCAACTACTAATATTATTCTTTGGGTTACGTCAAATTAAATAACTATTAGAATATGGAATAAGAGTTCAACTTCTTCAAGCCATAGTGCATGTGTAACCTATTCAAGAAGATCTAAACTTCTCCAAGCCATAAGTGCCTCTAAGATTCCATAATTAAATCATTCGTCTCAAAATGATCCTCCTAGAAATGAGAGTTGGTGCATGAAAATGAAGACCTTATTAGTAATATTCATCAAATATGTTCCAAAGGAAATGAACTGTTTCAAAATTATTCACATCAATACACTTCCCAAAACCACAATTAGACACTCCCAATAAGATCATGAAATTACCTCCTACAAAATGATCTACCATAAGGCATCACCAGCAATTAACCAAATCAATTGGAGTATGCCATGGCCAATAGGGTCAAACCAAGTGCAGCATCATTTGATCATAATTTAATTATGTGAGTACTATCAGTAGCTGACAATTATAAAAGTCTAATAAAAATAAATATCACTCATGAAGTAAATGGCTTCTTTAAAAAATTTCTTTGGGAGATTAAAAAACCTACAAAAGTAAAACAAACACAAAAATTCCTCATTCAACATCAATAAATAAAGCACTTGAGTATTGATATGTCCTCTAGATTCTAACACACTATTAAATGGCATCCACAATCATCCAATCATTATGATAGAGCCATATCCTATGCAAGTCATGCCATCATAATGGTTTTTATAGCATTTCCTTGCATTGATAAAACTAGCCACCAATCATGATAGTCCTATCACCATGATAATCTTGTGATGGCTTTAACAGCATCCAATCACCTCTATAAACTATATAATGCCTTTCTAACACCCACAAATGTACTACCACTATGATTGTTAACTAAGATATGCCACATATAAATGCTTCAAGAGCATTGCCCATCATATGAAGATAAAGTGAAGTTTAACACTACATCAAGCAATACGAAGTAATTTGTGCCAAAGCCACAAAAGGCACTGCCATTCACATGCTTCTATTGTTCTTACAATTAACACATATGAGAGCTAACATTAGTGCCCTCCGTATCAGATTATTACACTCATACCCAAAAAGTATTACATATTAAACCCCCTTTAGCTCTCTGGAGGGTAATCATGTTTGCATTATTCTTTTACAAAATAATAAAATTGTTTAATTTGGTTAGCCCTTGTTTGTTTTCCCCTCTCTAGGGGTCTTCCATGTAAAAATAATTGATTCTTGTACTATATGTGCATAGCCCTAACGCTCGCCCATTGAGAAATTTTTCATTTTTCATCACTATTTTGTCATGTTTCTGCAGTGTTATTAAAGCAAAACCATACTAGTTGTGCTTCAACATGAACACGCGTCAAATTTGAAATTTCTGATGAAACACTAATCATTACACTCATACCAAAACGCAACTCATTGTGTAACAGCTCAGTTTCACTTTAACTGATAATAAAGCGGTCTTACAGTGTAAGCGCACTGATAAACTGTAAGCTATGAATGTCATAAAATTCTACAGACTGACAGAGGTTTATCAAGCACTCAACAACAATAATACAAATACGTATAACCAGCCTTGATCTTTAAATCGGTTGAATATGAATTAACTGTTATAAGGGTCTATGTAAACTCCTCACTCCCTCACTCCCCAACCATCAAAATCAAAGCTCCGAATCATACCTAAATCTCCGCCACGTTTGGCGCAATGAGAATGCCGGGCGGCGACATCCTCAAACAGAGACCTGCCGGCAGCGACCTCCTCCCTCAACTCCCTGAGCTGCTCAGCCGCCTTCGCCTTGGTAGTGATGCTGATAAGTCGTCCCTCAGGATCCTTCCATGAGCTCTTCCTCCGCGATTCCTCGTGCTTCAGCAGTATGTGCGAAGCCCTAATTCGTTCATTTCCAGCAGCAGAGACCGCCGCCGCCGTATTCCTCTCCCTTTTTCTCTTTCCGTTTTCCATTCTCCGCTCCGTCACCTCCCCTTCCGGCATGTGAGGCCGATTTTGGTGAAGATGCTTGCTGTCCTTCTCAATCTCCGTCGGAAGGTTTCTCGTGCTTTGGTCTGCGACCTCTCGACATCCACTCATGGACTCTGAACCAAATATCGGCTGATGAATTAAAACTATTAATTAAAAAAAATAAAAAAATTATATTAAATTCTTTTTAAATAAACACTTTAATATAAACTATAAGATTTAAATCTCGTCCCTATTCTTAACATTCAACAGCTGCATCACTAGAGCTATCAAAATAGACCATTGTTCGCGAATAACTCGTGTTGGGCTCGTTAAGCATAAGAGCAATTTTTTTGAGTTCGATGTACAAACAAGCTAAACAAGAACAACGATATTTGTTAACAAGTCGAACATGTATCTAAATTTCCCCGCTCTGATTAATAACACCTTATTTTGACAAATGTAATGTATTTTTAATATTCTTTTATATTTAAGTGAGCCAAGTAGGTTGAATTATTGTTGCATGTCAGATTTGGCTCAAACATTCTTAAAATTTTGATAATAATATGATTAAATGAGGTCAAATCTATAAATTATAATTTAATCAAATATTAACATATGTAATTTATTTGTCTTTAAAGATAAAGTATAATTATTATATATAGCAGTCATGGAAAAAAAATGTAAAAATTAATAAACAAATATTCCATAAAAAACCACTAACATAGTGATTTGATTATACACCATCACATTCTTATGTGTTCACATATCTAACACCTAAAGTTTATTTATTTTTTCCCAATATATTACCATTACTTAAAATTTCAATATAACTCATTAAAATAATGCTAGATTTAAAATTTAAAACTATTAAATTAATAATGAATTTAGTTTTTTAAATATCACTTATTAAAATAATGGAGAATTCAATACATATTTACATATCTAACAACTAAAGTTTCATATTTACATACATAACACTCATATCTTTAATATCATGTTATAACAGAAAATTTACATACATACCAATAAATTCTTATGTATTTACACAAATAACACATAATGACATACGGTTTAATTTCTACACATCACCTTTTGCATGTGTCACTTTTAAGAAGTTAAAATGATGGTATTTTTATGTGATATAGTCATATGAAAGATTTGAGTGGTATAAAACTATAAATATAACAAGTAAAAAAACTAAGTGTTCAGTTCATTTCAAAATACTTTAATGGGTACGCGCAAGAAATAGGCCAATTCGTAGCTTTTTGTTCAATTTCTCGTGGAGTCAAATCCTCATCAGTACGGGTGAAGGGAATAGCTCCTTGACCCTTGATTTCCATATAAAGGACACGACGAGGAAAAAGACCCTCTCTCACCTCCATCCTGATTGATTGGATATCTTTCAGAAAGAAACGAATGAAGATGCGACGGTTTATTGCAGATAAGTAAATACAAAAGAATTTGGAGGCATATATGTAAATGACCCTACATTCTATAGATGCATGAAGCAAGTGCTCTTTAAAAACCTGGCAATGATGATAAAATTGATGGCAAAGATGACCACATAACAAAGCATTTATTAATCTCCTGCATGTCAGTTCCAACAAACCATAAAACTAATCAACAAAAGGGGTCATACATTCATCACCCAGCTGAAGGTAATCATATGAACAGAGATATATTTTACATAAAATTCCATTGGAGATCAAAATCAAAGGAAAATTCCTACTGGTAAAAGAAGAGCTAGCTAGGCACCTTAACTTCCATTGTTATTATTATCAGGCCTCCACAGACCCAATCCATTCCTCACTGGCATTCCTTGAGCCACAGGCCGCCACGGGGCATTATTAGGCTGCATTCCCCCAACCTGGGGCTGGATGGGCGTAGGAGGAGGAGGTATGAACTGCGGGGGCATCAGGTTCTGGTTTATTGCAAATGGGTGGGCATTTATAAGTTGCTGTTGATACACGTGCTGCGGAGGCGGCGGTAATGGCGGCATCGATCTCATATTTTGATTTGGATTCCACTCAGGAATATCATCTTCATCATTCCACGGCTCGACAGGAATCCCCAACTCGCTAATGATGTTCTCCCCCTGCCCATACTTTTGGATAAGTTCCCTCATGTGGTTGGACGAACAGGGCGGAGCCGTCGCTGTCGCCTTCGCCGCCAATGCGCCTGCACGATGGGAGCTTCGGCCGCGAGAAAAATCAAACTCGGGAAGATCATCATCCTCTCTCGCAATAGGCGGGCCGAAGCCGGGCGGAACATCGTCTTCATCATTGGGTAGAGGCATTGGATTCCGGCGGAATGAATGATTCATGCTTTCATGACGTTTTTTCGAACTCGAATGTTTCTTCGAGCTGCCATGACGGTGGTGGTGGGAAGATACTCTAGGTGATATGGTTGCATGGGGTCTTCTCCATACAACAATGCCGATGAGGCCATTGAGGACAGAGCTGATGCTGCCGAGGAGCTCCTTAGAGAGGTTGTGGGTAAGTATGGTGAGTATTTTTGGGTGGGAAGGGCAGAGGTAGAGCTCAACTCCTGGGACAGGCTCAGCAAATCCTACTCTCTCATCTGTGATGTAAGAGTGGATGGCCTGTAGTTGGAAGGAAGGAGAAGACATAAAATCAAATATTTAGCGATCATATATGGTATAAAAAAAGGAAGATTTACATGCATACCATTCAATTCGTATGCATTTACATATCCAACAGCTGTAAAAGATAAACTTTGTAAAAGAGAGTTGAAGCCAAACCTCGGAGAAATGTGCACGCCCACTCTCCAGAGAATCCTCCTTCCAGCTAAATTCGACCATCTGCATAAATAAGGAAATATGTATTATTTATATGTTTTTTTAGGAAATAATAGGCGAAAATTCATGCATTTTGGCAGTTAAATAGGAGCATTTTTGAGAATTAAGATATTATCATAAAACAACTACGTACAAATTTATGTTGAAAGTCATGATTTCAGATTTTATTTTTCCTCAAAATCAGTTAATGCACAAAAGGGACGTTCAGTTTTATTTTTAATTAAATGGATTTGTGTATGCGAGAAAAATAAATGATTTCCAAAAAATATTGACTTAATTTTATACAAAAAAAAACTACAATAATTTTTTATTTTAATTCCAATATTTTGGCATTAAAGATTTGAAAATATTTAAACAATTTTTTTATGAGATTGTCAACAAAATTTATACAATAAATAACTAAAATACAATCTGTTTCTCGAGTCTCGGTAATATACACATCAATAGGAAGCTCCCACTTGTTGGCGGCGTATACCCAGAAGTTATCGTACAGCTCAAACAGCTTTTACATTCGATATAATAGACCCATCCCCTATTCTCATTCCATTGCTTTAAAATTCGCGCTCGTATAACCCAGCTGCTCACTGACGTGTGCTTCCAACATACACTTTCACTTTTTTCATTCTATTTCCTTCAGCCCAGCTTGAGCAGCTTTTACATGGCCGCATTCCACACAGAGTGGCAGAATTTTATTTCAAAAGATAGCAAACAACATTGCTGCAATCGCTGCAGCATTCATTTACATCACTTCTTACATCAAGCAACCTAGCTCCAGAGATTCAACTTTACATTAACAATAAAATTGTTCATATTAAGGAGCATTTACATGCATACCACACAATTCTTACATATTTACATTTCTAACACCTAAACTTTTATATTTACATAGATAACCCAAATCTTTCACATCATATCAGAAATATCACTATCACTAGCTTTTTAAAAGTGAATACACCTTTTAATATGAATGTCAGGGTGTTATAAATGTAAATATAACACTTTAAATGTTACATATGTGAATGCATAAGAATTGTGTGGTATGCATGTAAATTTTCCTAAAATTCAATGTGGCTAAAATATATGGGTTATTGCCAGCAACCTGTAACAAGTGAGAGTAGCGGAGAGACCGCAGTCCCGCCGGCTGCAGGCCTCTGAAATGCAAATGCAGCACAGGAATATCATAACTCTTGTTACATTAAAAGAAGGCTCAGTGGCGACAATTAATCCATGCCAAAATAGTTAATTCTTGTTAAAGTTCCTAGTTCTGTCTGCTTTTCAAGAAAACTGGAAGAGAATGTAAATGCAATGAATATAAGAATTACATGGAAATCAGCATTCACCAATTTAGGGCTATTGGTTTCCTTGCCTTTGTGGTGCAAAGTAAACCAAAAGCAAGGATTTTTAAAACTTGGGAATCTAGTGAATGAAAAATGAATGCAATTTAACATTTTCATATATTTTGAATTCACTTTATAGTTCATAATTCATGTATTCCACATTCGTTAAATTTGACTGATTTTCAAATACACTACAAAGAACATTCCATCGCCCGCCCACCTATCACCGCAGCCGTCATTGCCAAACATGTTTGATATTGATTTCATTTTACTTCAAACTAGACACAAAAATATAAATTTCTGCATTTACTTCATGCCAAAGAAAATGAATAACAAGTATTTCAAAAAGTAAATGAGAGAGCATAGCTCCGAAAAAAATAAATGCACACATCAATAAAAGTAACGTCAAAAATTCAAATTCCAACCACTTGCAAATACGTATGTTCAAATAAATTAGTTATGACACAATCAACAACCTTAAGTTATATTCCAAAATGATTTCACATAAAAGCTCACACGCGCATCTGTAAACACTACATGCTACTGAGCAGATAGAAGTGCGTACATGCCAAAACACGTGTATAACGTACATAAGTTTAAAAATTCATATGAACATAAATCATAATCAACAAAATTTTCTCAATGAATACACTAAACTCTAGAACATTAAATGGTTTTGAATAGTGAGATAGATGTGCGGTAGAACTTTAGGAAGCTTGTATATGTTGTTTGGATCCATCTTTGGTTTTAATACTTTCTAGATGAAATGTTAACTTACCATAAAAACGATGATATTTTCTAGAAAAACAGTCAAATTGGGATTTCAATGCACCAAACTTTAAAATGGATTGGAATTAAAAATAGTAGATTTTTAAAAAAAGTACATTTAATGACTTTGAATGGTGAAACTGACGTGTAAAATAAAACATTTATTAGGCTTCCATGCATTTTTAAATCATCTTGATTTTTCTTACTTTCTCCATCAACAATTAAATTATTATAAAATTATCAAATTGAATCCACAAGAAATTTTGAAGTTACAGATAACAACCAACAGCATCATATATAGTTTGACGAATATAACAACTCCTCTAGTATACTTTACATTAAAGGGAGTTCCAGGCATGGTTTACATACTATTTGCCGCACATTCAAATAAACATAAGAAAAAAAAACAAAAACAAAAACAAAAGTGAAAGATTCTTCTCCTCATAGAAAGAAAAAAGTCCACTTGGATACTCCCATTTGAAGAAAAAAACATAAAAAACATTGCATGCATTTAAATCTTTTATATAAATAGCTTCAGGTCTATAATCAAAGTTATAAATTACGTGAAAAAGTCATAGCAATATAATTTCTACATTTTTTTTATAGACAATCAAAGAAACACAACCAAAGAATTGAGTAGTATGTATGTAAATTTCTATACATAGGAGAATGTACATACATGCCACAAAACTCCTATTAATTGGCATAGCCAACATTTTAATATTTAGATACCTAACACTCAAATCTTTGACATTTCTTCTGATTGAAATGCACCTATTAATGCATGAATTTTAACTTGTTATGACACTAAAGTGTTATACACAAAAATATCAAACTATAGGTGTTAGATGCGTAAATACATAGAAACTGTGTGACACAAAAGTATCAAAGTAGGGGAAAAAATTTTTACCGGACTCCGGACGTAGCTCTACAAGCGGACTCCGAGTAATATACCGCCACGTGTGCTATATCACGCCCATCAAAAAAATATTAAAATGAAACCACGAACTCCGCAATAACACCGAAATAATCTTTACTATTCCACTTCAATAACCCTTAAATAACACGACGGAGGTTATTTCGGGATAATTTCGGTTATTGAAGAGAAATTCATATATTCCGCTTCAATAATCCTGAAATCACCCAGAAAGAACCCCAAAATAACCTGTGGTGTTATTTTAGGGTTATTGAAGTGAAGCCGCAGATGTTATTTTAGAGTTATTTTTGGGTTATTTCGGGGTTATTAAAGTGAAATATATAAGTTTTTTTTCAATAACCCCAAAATAACCTCCACAGTTCCACTTCAATAACTCCAAAATAACCTCCCCGATTTAGCACACGTGACGGCATATTATGGAAGTCCGCATGCAGAGCTACGTCCGGAGTCCATACAGAATATTTTCCCAAAGCAAGGGGGGCCCTAGGGGATCCAGTGGCGTAACACTTTTCAAAGATTCAAAATTTTCATAATGTTTCTCTATCATGCATTGCAATCCATGCTTCATATGGACGAATCCTGAGCTGTTTTCCTGATAAGCATCAAGAAAAGCAGCAATCCAACGAGGCACAAAAACAAAATTATTTTCATCTAAAACAAAAAAAAATGCAAAAATAATATTCCAGCATATGGTGCAATATACCATAATTGTTCTGCTTCTGGAAAGAGGAAGCTCTTGCAGGAACTTCTCAAATGCATCTAATCTAACTCTTCCTTTCACCTCAAGCAAGCTAGGCCACTCTTTCATAGATGTTCTCTCGCCACTAAAAAACAATAAGTTAGAAAGTGACTTATTATGAATGTTCGCACCACAAAAAAAATAAAAATAAAATAAAAAAAAGTATTATATCAGTTCAAATGAATATCATTCTTCCAGTTAAGTTGCTTCAGGATACCATCTGAAAATGGCTAAAACCTTACAAACTCTGTAACTGAGAAATTTATCAAATTATATATACAGAAAAAATCAAATAAAAAGGAAGAAAAAATCATTCAAGATTTCTGTGAAATGCTCTATGAAGGTGGTCCTTCTCAATCACAGAGAACTCCCAATAATTATATAAACAAACAAAAAACAGTATAATTTGCGCAACATACAAGACCTCATTTTCGCCTTCTCCTCGACCTTGAAAACATCAACTCAACATCCCGATTTTTCAGGTCAGGCAACAATTTATTAGACATTAAAGAGAAGATAACCCTTGATTTTGCTCAACTCAGATCACAGAGCTAAATTACTCTCCTTAAGAAAATGAGTATGATATGAGGTCAAAGGGTTAGCCTCAAAAAGTTTTCTTTATGCTCTTATATGCTTTGCAAGTATATCATCAAATACCAGTGTCATCCTCAAGTGCCTACATGACTTTAGCTACAACTAGGGGGTGAACTACTGTTAAATTTTCTTTGAATAATTTGATGATGATATTTGCTGTTTTGAACTACTAGAAAGCTCCTTTAGGCAATGTCCCTTCCAAGAGAGATGATCATGTTCTTTCTTGTTGATAGGAGGATTCCCGGTGGTTACACTTGTAGGTACCTTATCTTACTATCAAATTCTTTTGATATTACTGATAGTGAAAACTTTCTTGGGCCTCTTTACTGCTTCTTATTCTCTGGAATATTTTTCATATCGTGTACTTATTTCACAATCACAATCAAGTCTCCTGCTTCCACCCTGTCACCAAATCCATTTGTGAAATTATTCTCGTTATAGAAGAAAGTCATGATTAACTTCTCTTGAACTTGAAGGATGTACATACAACTAGGGAATTGTCAACTTTCATAGGAAATCCTCCCAACCAAAATAAAATAAAATTTAAAATCCATTATTATTCACAATGCATGAATATGATAATTTTTCCTCTATGATGGTTTCATCCTTAACAATATAAGAAATATATATAATATGCTAAAAAAGGGGGGAAAAAGAAAATAATTAAATTCATGAAAAATGAGTTGTGAAAGTAGCTCATAAGATAAAAGAGCTCACAAAAAAAATTATGAAAATGAGCTCATAAGAAAAAAGTATAAAAAAGAGGGGAAGGGGAAAACATTGTAAGGCAAAGTAAGTTGTAAATGATAATTTAATTAAATCACTAAACTTAAAACCCAGAGGCTTCCATTTTAATCAAAAAATATTTAAATCCCAGAGCATCCATGAGCTCCTTTATCATTCAATGAAAGGCTTGCTGAAGATAAATTTGATCTTCAGCTCACCATCACGAAATTACCCATTATATGATAAAGTGCATAATATACAAAGAAATCTCAAAATTGAATTTTCTATCACTAATTTATTTCTCAACTTAGATATGATGTATCTTAATCTATTTGAGTTGGAATTTTGCCCTACAAAAGTTTCAATTATATATTTGTACTCAAAGGATAACCCTAAACCAGAGTTCATCATCTTAGTGAGTTGCTATCTATGTTGCACAAACACGAGGACACACACAATACAACACAACACATAATATGTCTATTATTGAAATTATAAGACATGAACACAATTATAAAAAAAAAATATCTATATATATAAGATAATAAATAAACAAAATATTAGGAATAATACAAAAGAAAAAAAATTAATAACATTTATCTTTAAAAATAATTGAAATGTATAAAAAAGAACATCTACTATTTTGTATTATATCAAGATTTAAGCCCTCTTAATCAATTATTCATTAAATAAAATAAAATGATCATTGACTTCTTCGGCATCGAATACTTATGTATTTACATATATAAGCCTAAATTACAGCTTCTTACGGGCGACCCCCAAACATTAATTTTCCCCCTTTTAAGCGCCGACAATAAGCCTAAATCTTGATTTTTATTTTATGCCACCCAAAACTTTCATATTACATCCAATATACCGTATTCCTCGTAGAAGTGAGGATCTAGCCTTAGGGGTCTTCCTGCGACTATCTTAGAACCTCAGAAGTGGTGTCCGTCTCGTTTTAGTTCGATCTATTTCCGTCATCTTTTGGAGTTTCGCGTGTGCGGTATCGACTTTTAACACTTAGAAGGAAGAAACCGACATGAGGAAACCCAAAATGGATTCCTATAGGACCTT